AGCAACCCTGTATAGGATTTCCAAGGAGCCAGCTGGTGAGCTTGAACCGCCAACCTTGCAGTTCAAACGGCTTTGCAGTTTGACGCATTAGCCCACAGCGCCACACCAGGACTCCAAGAGTTGTGGATGTGATCATTTTCTCTATGCTTCAGTGAGGAAACAAAGGTAGAGAGAAGCATCTTAAGAGGGCTTGGGGTCACGTAGCTGCAAATGGCAGAACACAAGTGCATGGCTGCCGCTCTGCATTTGTGCCGAGTTCTGTGCTGGCACACACTGACTTGGCAGCTCTCTTGGTCCTGGTTATAGACATTGTCAGGGTTGGGCCAGGAGTCCTCTTCTTAAGGCCTTGAGGGGATGTCATCTGCATGGCCAGTTGGCTGAACAGTCAGAACATCTGTGCCGTCCAGCACTGCACGCTTGGGCTTCTTTTCAGCTTGTGGCCTGGCCACACAGATACCTCTACACCCTTGTGCATTGCAGCTGTCGGAGCTGCTGCCTCCTCCCCTTCTGCAAAAGTTGTTCACAGCCTCCCGTTTGGATCATTGTCCCCACTGCCGGAGGAGGCAGCTGGGCTCTGTCTGGATGAGGATATGGAGTTCCCTTGGGTGCTTCCTTCTCTCCAGGATCTAGAACTCTGGGTTGTGTCATCTGGCTCCCGGAGACTGCTGCCTTTATAGCCTTTGTCCAGTTTTACAGGATTTTACAGATGGGCCAGAACCCATAGAGGCTTGACTGTCCACCTGGGGCCAGCTCTTGCCCAGCTCTGATGAAACCTGCACTGAAGCTTCCTCCCCATACTTTGCCATCAGCCCTTCCGGTCGTGACCACATTCTAGCCCAATGCCTTTTCCTCCAGGTCTGAGCAGAGTTTCATGCCAACAAGTGTTCTTTGTATATCCAAAGCCCAGAGATGCCTCGTGTGCAATGGGTACTTGGTGCATGTTTGTTGGATAAGAGTAAATGTGGTGTTCTCCTCGGGGGAACTGACCTTATTAGCAGGGGTGAGAGCTGTCAGAACACTCAGTTGCCTCTTTGTACCTTATCGGAACCCTGTTGATCTAATCTTATACTGCACTTCTTTGAACACCATCCCATTTTTGCGGGATAAGTGGCGGCGTCTCTTCTGAACCCCAGTAGTGTTTTTTTTTAAAAAAAACCTTGGTGGCTGCCAAAGGCAGCATGGTGTGATGAGCAGAGAGACTGAAATTGAAGTTGATAATTCAGTTATCATTCTCCTGACCAGTGTATGCTCTGTTACTTGATCCTTCCAAGGTCTGCTTCTTCTATAAAATGGGATAATCTTTACCCCAAAGCACTGTTGTAAAGATTAACTCAGATGGTGTTTGCCGTACTCTTGGAAGAATATTCAGTAGATGCTGTTTTGCTTCCTATTGGTGGCTTTTTATCAGGAACTTGGGTTTACTCAGTGCAGCCCAGGGAAGTGATTTAAATTGTTGTTGTGAGCTCCTGTTGAGTCCATGACGACCCCACCTGTGCAGAACAGGAAAGACTAAGGACTAGGCTCCCACTTAGACGGGTCAGGTCACTCTGAAATGGTCTTAGCCACTTGGGTCTGTTTTCCTTCCGAAGACAAGAAGGGCGATTGCCCATTCTGGAGTGAGTTTGGAACAATGAGGGGTGGCTCTTTGAGAATCTAGAGCCTCCGACTTCCCCCTATGCCCATCAGCACCACCCACCGGCCCTGAGCCCCACTCTGCCGCCGACAACTGTGTGGACAGTGGGTGCTGCCAGCGAGTGGTGGCCGCCCAGCAGCCTCGTCACTAGACCTGTTTTGCAGCTTGAGAGGAAAATAGACTGGGCATGTGTTTGCATTTCCTGACCCAAACGGGCCATTGACGTCAAGAGCCGCCCCTGTTGTTAAGAAGTTACGCCTTTGTGTCATGCTGATGTGTATGTAGCTCTTCGTGTGTTGGGTATTAGAGAATATTTATTTTTACCAGTGTGGAGTTGAATGAGAATCTGCATAGCACTTATGTGTGTCTCACACATTCCACATTGATTTTCATATTCTTCTTCTAAACCCTGTCAGTCGGCCATGACAGGAACGTTCCTTGTTATGATTGTGTGTGTGAGACAGAGATGAAACTGAGGCTCCGATTCTTCAAGTGACCTGTCCAGAGTCACACAGTTATGTACGAAGTGGGGCTAAGACTCTGTCACTGACTTTCTGTCTGGGTCCAGTCCTATTTCCCATTGACGTGGTGACTGGATTGCATGGGGTGGAGGTGTGGAGCAGGCCTGTAAGGCATTCCCCAGTTGGTGCCATTGTTTTCTGCCTCCTCCCTGAGAATATCAGTGTAGTTTATACTGAGGGTCAAAGGCCACGTGCACATAGTTTCCCATCTTTGTATCTAACCTTCACGGTTGATGTCTCAGAAGACCTGCACTGAACTTCAGTGAAGAGAGCACCGAGCAGAGGATGGAGGGAGACGCAGGCTTAGCTGGGCCCATGTGGAAGGTGCTAGGTGCTCTGAGGCGGCCCTGGGGCTCAGGAGTGGCTCAGTCTGGCCTTACAGAGGTTGACAGAGACCCTATTAATGCTTGTGAATGGTGCTCACTACTGTTGACAGAACCCACCACACTGCCTCAGTCACAGCGCCTGACTTGAAGCATTGTCAGTTTTCTGCCCTTGGTGGCAGACTACTTCTTCCCTCCTTCCCGAAGGGACCACTTCTGGTAGTTGGTCACAGTGGAGTTGGGGTGCCCCAGGATTTCACCAAGACACCTGCACCGGCCTGAAGACACCATGAGTAGCATCCTCATAAACGCAGGGAGCAGGGACGAGCCGTGTGCAGGACTAAGTTTGCTGCCACTCTCCATCATCCCTTGTCACAGAGTTGCTGATTGATGGTGGTGGTGGCTGTGTGCCGTGGAGTCGGTTCCGACTCATAGCGACCCTGTATAGGGTTTCCAAAGCTGTTGCTGATAGCTAATGCCTAAAAAGGACTCCTGAACCAGGAGCTCGCCAGCTTTGTGACCCTCACAGCATCACTTCAGTTTCTTTTTGCCTCTGTTTTCTTATCTGTGAATGGGGTTGATGGTGTGTCCTGCTCCTAGAGAGGTTGTATTTAAATATTCATAACATTTAGGATGTTGAGACTTGGAAAAACCTACCACTTAAACTCTTCTGCCTTAATCTTCTTGTCTATAAAATAGAGGTCCCTCATTATAAAGCATTTTGTCAGTGCTAGCTAGTATTACCATTCTTTTCATTACTTCAGACCACAAATATGTTGGATGTTACAGATACAATTATCAGTTTAAGGTTTTGGACTTCGGTTATGTGAAGAGGAGCTCTGGTAGGATGGTGGAATACGAATCAGGCTGCTAACCTCAAGGTCAGCAGTTCGAAATTACCAGCCGTTCCAAGGGAAAAAGATGGGGCTTTCTGCTCCTGTAAAGATTTACAGCCTCGGAAACCCTATGCAAGGTCGCTGTGAGTCAGAACCAACTCCACGGCATACCATCACGAACACCATGTGAAGACAAATATTTTAAATTTGAGGCTAGGGAAATGTAATTTTTGGTCTCTTATATGGGTTAAGATGATAAATCGTTAGCACTTTGCTATTTTAATTCAGTGGCTCTTTTTTATTGATGGTTGAAGAGATGCTAAAGACTAAACCACAAATCCAAAAAATTTAATCTGGTGCCTATATTATAGTAAGTTCCTTTAGAAAAAGTAGCATTTATTTTGGGATTACATATTTTTGAAAATTAGTTTCCTCTAGTCAGTTTTGAAGGAGCTCTGGTAGCATAGCAGTTACCAATCAGGCTGCGAACCGGAGGGTCAGCAGTTCGAAACTACCAGCCGTCCCACGGGAGAAAGATGAGGCTTTCTGCTCCCGTAAAGATTTACAGCCTCGGAAACCTTGTACAGGGTCGCTATGAGTCGGAACCCACTCCACGGCACATAATCACCACCACCAGTCAGTTTTGAGGAGTCCTGGTGTGGTGCTGTGGGTTAATGCGCCAGACTGCAAAGCCATTTGAACTGCTTTGGCAGTTCAAGCTCACCAGCTGCTCCTCAGAAACCCTATACAGGGTCACTATGGGTCAGAACCAACTCAGTGGCATTTAACAACAACAATAGTCAGTTTTGAAATTATGCTCCCCCCCCCTTGTAGAAAGGTGGGATTTAGAAGATGTGAGAGTAATGTGGAAAAGATCTAGATCATAATATTTATCTGTTTTAGAAAAGCGGTTGCTGTGAAGTACTGTCGCGTCTGTTCTGACCCATAGCGACTCTGGAGGGTTCTGGAGGGAGCGGCTGGTTAGCCTGAACCACCAACCTTTCCGTTCAAACCACCTTTGCAGTCTAGCGCATTAACCCCCAGCACCACACCAGGACTCTGTCTTAGAAAAGGGATGGAGGAACTATAAACATTTTTAGTGATGTAGATTAGTTTTGGGTGCTTAAAGTTGTAACTATTCATGTTATTATAAACAGACTTACTACTAGACTCGTGGAGTTCTGGTATGGCGCTGTAGGATAAACACTGGACTGCTGACCACAAGGTCATGGGCTCAAAACCACCTGCCACTCCCTGGAAACCCTATCTAGGGTTGCTGTGAGTCAACTGAATCAACAGCACTTAACAATTAGAGTCTTAAAGTAAGGCACGTTGCTACAGACAGACTCTCGCACGTGGCATTATTTCCGAAAACAAGAGTATGGTTGTTGTTGTGAAGTGCTGTCAAGTCGGTTCCGTCCCATAGCGACCTTGTATAGGGCTTTCGAGGAGCAGCTGGTGAGCTTGAACTGCCTCAAACGGCTTTGCAATCTGGTGCATTAACCTGCGGCGCCACACTACACGGTACTTTTCCCATGAGAAAGTCTTTTAAAACCTTCATTATAAAGCAAGGGATGGAGTATACTGACCACTAGACAAAGCCTCTATCTGTGCCCGTGTTGTGGAATGTCTTCTGCCTGTTGATTTCCCTTGTTCTTAATGCTCACTCTCCTCCTCCTGCTTTCAGTGACTTAGCGCTGCGGAATTGTTTCCTTACCTCTGACTTAAATGTCAAAGTGGGAGACTACGGCATCGGATTCAGCAGATACAAGGTAAGCCAAGGGTATGAAGTTTGACCTCCTCTGTCTGACTCAGCCTTGTGGTCCTAGTGTTGTCATGTGGAAACACCACTGCATGTTGGGAAGAGAAGGGCAGGACTCTGGGTTGTGGTGCCTTCTGTTCCCGGCGCTCGAATGGCAGCGCTGTTTTCTAGTGTGCCCTTTGTCATTCCATTGGCTGTGTGCCTGGGGTTTTGCAGCAGCTTCTCAAATGATTTGTCTCAAAAGCTATGTCTGCACAGTGTGACCAGTGGACTCTGGCAGAGCATGTGGGCAGTCCCTTGTTACTTACTACCTGTATATACATAAGGATCACTCCAGTATGTATTTAGTAAAATTTCAGCTCAAATTCAGTAAGCTTGAGGTTTAGGCTTTCAAACTCTGTCATGAATATATCTCCCCTTACCCCAACAACAACAACAAATGAAGAAATCCATGAGATGTTGGTGTGTGTGTGCATAGGTTCATGCATGCATCTGTAAGATCCAGTGGAAAGAAAGCTATTGTCCTGGGCCCACCTAGTCAGGAGGTCTTGGGTAAGCCAACCGGCCTCCAATTTCATGACAATATCTGCCCTGTCTTATAGGATCGTCCTATAGACTAAATCGGAATGAGGGGGCTCTGTTTTCAAAGTGCTTTATAGCTAAAACATACGATGCAAGTAGAGCAGGTTCTTTGTCTGCATCACAGCCCTCGTGTCATGTGATTTGCTGTGTACCAAGCACGATGAAGTCCTTGCCTGTATGACCTCATCATCGTTATCACAAAGATGGGCAGGCTTTGTACGAGTAGCATCCTCATTTTTCAGATGAGGAAGAAGGCTGGGTGGACATATTGGTTACGTGCCAGCAGTCACATAGCTGGTAAAAGGCAGAGCGAGGACTCCCAGCCCAGGTCTGTCTGAGTCTGGCCCCTGAGCTCTCATTCACAAAACGTACCACCACTACACTGTACAGGGTATTACCTCCAGTGCTTCTGCCCAGAACCACAGCGTGCCTTCACTTTCTAGGAAGGTGACTTAGCGCATTCGTGGCCCAGACCCTGCACTGTGGCACCCAGGCGGCTTCAGAGAGACTCCTCACCCACCTTCTGCTCAGAAAGTCTCTCATCGTGCCCACTTGTGTATGTTGGTTTGTTCCTGCTGTGTTTGGGGTGGGTGGGTGTGTATTCTAGAGTCCTGGTGTGGTGCTGTGGGAGAATGCTCTGGACTGCAAAGTTGGTTTGAACCACAAGGTCGGCAGTTCAAGTTCTCCAGCCGTTCCTTGGAAACCCTGTACATGGTCGCTGTGAGTCGGAACCGACTACACGACACTTAACAACAACATGCATATTTTGAAAATAGTCAGAAATTACATGATTCTGCTCAAAATTCTGGGTGCTTTTTAATACGACAGGAGGACTATATTGAAACCGATGACAAGAAAGTGTTCCCTCTGCGGTGGACTGCGCCGGAATTAGTCACCAGCTTTCAAGACCGATTACTAACTGCAGATCAAACTAAGTACAGTAATATCTGGTACGTATGTACATGTTTACCATTTCGCTAGATTTTTGTTTAGCCTAGTCCTAACTTCTTTCTCCTGGATTACTTTCTTAATGGAAAGCAGCCACATAAGACGTAGGGACAGAAGACTGCCTGATCGGTGTGACAGAGACAGTTTCCTGGCATTGTGGTGGAAGTCACTTTTACAATACTGTCTCTCTTACCCATTGTAACAAGTTCCCTTAAAGCAGGATCCCAGTCCTTTTTTTTTTTTTAAAGCTTTTAGAGTGAATTGAGTGATAGTTTACATGGGAGAACATTGGTTTTACACTTATCCTATTGTATTTCGTTTCATTGCAGTGATTACAGTCCTTTCCATGCATCATCATTCAACAGTATTTGCTTCTTTTTCCTCTGTTTGTTAGGTGTTTCTGATGTACATGAAAACATACAGGAATATATAATAATTTAAACAACCAAAGGGCACATTTTACCAGCCTGCCTCCTGATCGCCAGCACATAGCCTTTCTCTTTCTATAAAGTGTATACCTTATCAAATGTATTCTCTTGATGAGTCGCGAGTCCTCATCTGCTCCCTCTCTATATGCCCTCATTTCTGCCTCCATCTCTGGTGTCGCTGCTTCTCTGGTTAGGTCCCACGTTCCGTTCATGCTCTTCTCCCTTGATGGGTCCAGGGTCCTCCAGAAACCAAGTCTTTTATCTAGGGCAGACCCTGGCATATAGCAGATGGTTAATAGTGAATGAGAAAACACAAGGAGGGAAGGTTTGAACTGTTGGATAACACTGTTTATTTGTTGTTGTTGTTAAGTGCCATTGAGTGGGTTCCGACCCATAGCGACCCTATATAGGGTTTCCAAGGAGTAGCTGGTGAGCTTGAACTGCCGACCTTGCAGTTCAAATAGCTTTGCAGTCTGGCTCATTAACCCACAGCGCTACATCAGTTGAAAAGATGTATTTAAATCTTTGACTAACAATTTCTGTGACTGCATACTTAATTTTCATCTACCATTTTATTTTGTGCTGTTGGCCTGCTTTTCCTCTTTTACTCCTCTTGCCTTTTTTTGTATCTTTTTTTCTTTCCTTTTTTTAAACGCTTAATTTTTTCCTTGCAATTTGGAAGTTGTTTTCTCGGTTCCTATACCTTTATGGGTCAGAATCGACTCGATGGCACATAACAACAACATACCTTTATTGGAGTCCTGCTGTGGCGCTGTGAGTTAATGTGCCAGACTGCAAAGCCATTTGAACTGCAAGGTTGGTGGTTCAAGCTCACCAGCTGCTCCTTGGAAACCCTATACAGGGTCATTATGGATCGGAATCGACTTGATGGCACTTAACAACAATGACATAGCTTTACTGAAGTCCTGGTGTGGCACCATAGGATAAGCACTTGGTCTCAAGGTTGGTTTGAACCACAAGGTTAGTGGTTCACTCACCAGCCACTCCTTGGAAACCCCAAACAGAGTCACTGGGAGTTAGAATTGACTTGCACGGCACTTAACAACACCACCTCCTTTACTGGTTCCCCTAGAAACTACCATATGCATGCCTCACTTCTTTCATTTAATGTTAATCTGTGTCTTGACCCTCTTTCAATAATACAAAGGCCTTAGAATACTTGAACTCTGTGTAACTGCTTAACTACACACACATGACTTTTATTTTACTATGTTGTTGTTGTTGTGTTGTTAGGTGCCATCGAGTCAATACACTGCCCGATCCTGGGCCAGCCTCACAATTGTTGCCACGCTTGAGCCCATGGATGCTGCCACTTTGCCATTCCATGTCGCTGGGGGTCTTCCTCTTTTTCTGTGACTATACTATGTACTTTAATTTTTATTTTAATGTTGGTGGTAGTGGTGCCACTGAGTCAATTCAGACTCATAGCAATTATATGTACAACAGAATGAAACAGCTCCCAGTCTTACAATTGCAGCTGCCACTGTGCCAATCCATCTTGTTGGGGGTCTCCCACTTTTTCACACACCCTTCACTTTACCAACCATGTTGTCCTTCTCTAGGGACTGGCCCTTCATGGTAATAATGGACAGTTTTAATGGTTTTTAAGCACTATTTTATTTTAATGTCAGCCCTTCCCTCTGGGGTCCACCTTCCTTACTTCACTTAGTGAATGTGTGCTGGTAACACACTTCCAGTGGTTTGTAGATCTGAACACACATTTATTTTGTCCTCATTCTTGAGGTATAATTTTCACTGAGTGACAGTTTCTCTCAGCTGATTGAAGGTATCATCCCACTGACTTCTGGCTTCTACTGTTGCTCTGGAGAAGTCAGCTGAATCCTGCCTAAGTTTTCTGAAGGTAACAGCCACTTCTTCTCTCTAGCAGCTCCGAAAATCTTCTCTTTGTTCTTTCATTTGTAGTCGTTTCACTGTGAAGTGTATGAGTGTGAATTTTGGGGATTCATCACTTCGCAGCCCTTACAAGTATTGCCTCGCCCCCATTTTCTCTCCTTCTGGAAGTCTCACTTACATACATAATTCTCACTATCTTCAGTCTCCTAATTATCCCTTTCATTTTTAACTCAGTTACAACAACTAGGGCATCGAAACAGTTCCTTGACCCTGCATGTCACATTGTGGGTAAATTCTCACACCTGTGATCCAGGTACTAATTGTCTCTTCAGCTTTCTCATCTGCTGTAAACCTGTCGATTTGAGTTTTACAGCTCAGTCATTGATTGTTCAGTTTTAGAAGCTTTCTATTTGACTTTTTTTTTTTTTTTAAGTGGGGTATGACCTCTGAAGTCTTTTGTGGATCTCTTCCTCCTGGCTCTCGATGGTGCCTTGTTTACTTGGAGAACTTTTTGTGGGGAGGATTCATGGGAATGCAGAATTAAGCAAGTTTCATTCCTCCAGAGAGTCTTGTACCACATGCACAGTGCTCCGCACTGGCCCAGGACAGTACCCATCAAGCTGGAGGGGAGTCTTTGAACCACTCAGCTGATGTGATTTGGATGAGGGTGTCTGGGTGAGGGCCCATTGTATGGTTACAAATACACACCCTGAGGAATTTCTACAATGAGGAATTCATTGTGAGACCCCTTACCGTGGCCAGGCCCTGGCCCAGGACTTTGACTTGTCCCTCAAGCCCTGGCAACCAAGAACACAGTCTGTAGTCCAGCAAATATCCCAGGGCCAAGATGGTCTTAGTGTTCTCCAAGTTGTCCTGGTGAATCCCTGCTGTTGCTTTCATCATTCATCCAGCACTGTTGTTGTTCTTGGCAGGCAGGGGCTGACAGAAATACTTAGCTCACCTTCACAGACAACAGAATCATGCCCATTATGTTTGAAGGTTTGTTAAGTCACTGATGTCAGGTCAGACGCAAATGCCTCCTGCCACCACGCACCGTGCCGCTGCAGTGAGTGAGAGGAATGGAAGTGCACTGGGGGCCTCACTCTCACTCAAAGGCTTGGGCGGGGAAGAGCTGGTAAGAGCTACCTGGCTCTTCCTTCCTGAAGAGAGGCTTGATGGTAGCAAGGAGGCGTGGGCCAGTGGAGAGGGGACGGTTGAATGTACAGGTGTCTGGTGAGATCATTGGACAGAAGAAGGTCTCTTTCTCTGAGGCCTTTCTGGGGGAATCTCAGGAGAGATGTTAGAAAGAGGTTGGAGAGGAGAGTTGGGTCTGCCCTTTCTTGTTTTTTTCTGGAGAATAGGGCTGTGATAGAGGATGGAGGGCCTTTGTTTTGGAATGGGCTTTGGGAGCGGGAAGAAGGTGTGAAATTAGGTATGCAAAGAGACAAATAAGAGTTGTTCACCCAAGGTCAAGCCAAGTTTTGTGGTGCTAGCACTACACCTTTGTGGTCTTCAGCATTCATGTGCATCTTTAATTTTCCTCAGTGTGATTGTAAACTCCCTTGTCTTTGGCTTCTTTAGCACCTAGATGGTCCTCAACCCTGGCCACTTCTATGACAGGGAGAAGACAGCTTCTTACTTCCTGAATTGTATTAAAGAAGTTGTGTTTTGTTTTGTTTTGTTTTTTTCTTTGATAGATTGATAAATAGATCTCTCCATTTGATGATTTTTTTTTTAAACTAAGTTAAGGAGCTCTGGTAGCATAGTGGTTACGAATTGGGCTGTGAACCTTAAGGTCAGTGGTTCGAAACTACCAGCCGCTCCGCGGGAGAAAGATGAGGCTTTCTACTCCCGTAAAGATTTACACCCTCGGAAACACTGTACAGGGTCGCTATGGGTCGGAACCGACTTGACGGCACTTAACAACAACAACAACAAGTTATGCAAGTCACATGAAAGAATTTGTCCCATGAATTGGATTATGCAACTTCCAGTAATAAATTCTTACTTACATAGTACATTTTTTCCATTCACATAAGTATTCTTTTGGATATCAATCAAAATGATACAGGTCATCAACAAAAAAAAATTATTGAGCTTTGTAAAACTCCAGTTTTTTAGGCCACACCCTGGATGTTCTAGACAAGCATTTGGGAGGTGAGTCCAAGATACCGATGAGTGTGTGTGTGTGTGTGTGTGTGTGTGTGTGTGTGTGTGTGTATTTGAAGCTTCCCAGGTGGTGCTCATGAGCACTCACTGTAGGGATCATTAGACACAAGACCCAGTGTGGTAGTGAAGGGAGAGAGACATGTTTGCAAATGCCATGCAGAGGAGAGTCAGCAGCCCAGTGCACAAGAGAACATTATCCTGGGGACCGAACGTGAGTGTGAGGGGCCACCACCAAGCATCTCAGGGTCATCAAGGTGACCTCTTGCAGTGCACAGACAGCCGGTGAGGGAAAAACCCCTTTTGTTATAACAGCAAAACCCAAAACACTCTCTGATACTTCTGACATATTATCAAGAGGGACCAGTCTCTGTCAGAGGACATCATGCTAGGTAAAGTGGAGGGTCAGTGATAAAGAAGAAGCCGCCCCCCCCAGTGAAGTGGATTGACACAGTGGCAGCAACATCGGGCTCAAGCTTAACGACAGTTGTGAGGTTGGTGCAGGACCAGGCAGTGGTGTCTTGTTCTACAGTGCACAGGGTCGATATACACTGGAATCGATTAGACAACACCTCACAACCACAAATACAAAATGTGTGGGCTTAATGGTGAAAAAAAAAATATTTATTCATGGAAAAATTTGTTTTCTGTGGCTGACCCCCATTCCCACCCAAACCCTCAGCATTCAGGGTATATATCTTGTCTCGAGCCACCTTGCTGACCTCAGATCCTCTGATACCCTTTGAGGGTTAAGATCTCTTATCCCTACGATGATACCTGTAATCTCTGTCTCACATTTTTAAGTTTTTATTATGTCTCACATCTTTTTGCACTAGCCAAAATGTCTAGAACAATATTCAGTAGCAAATGTGAGATTTTTGTCCCTCATTTTGAAGAAAACATCTTTTTGCCGCTGTTGATTATGGTACTGTATTGGTTTTGACAAGAAACCCATCTGTTCCTAAAATTACTAACAATTGTACCAACAATTTGGGTGTAAAAAGTTTGACTTCTAAAGGAAACAAAAAATAACCATCTCCTTTCTCTTTCCAGGTCCTTGGGTGTGACGCTCTGGGAGCTTTTTGACAGTGCTGCTCAGCCCTATTCACACCTTTCCAACGCTGATGTCCTCCACCAAGTCATCCGTGAGCGAGAGACAAAGCTCCCGAAGCCACAGTTGGAACAGCCCTACTCTGACAGATGGTGGGTGACTTTTGACCTCGTTCTGTTAACTTTCAGGAGATAAGGGAATAGCACCTTTAGGGGTGGTAGTGTCTGTGTTCCGTATCTTAAAATAATGTTATTAAAAGTAATTATGTTGTATTTTTATTCATGACAAACTGTTTAATTCACATGTGCTTTTAAAATTTAGTACATTTAGCCAACCGTTCCAAGATCCACCTCCTGGTACCCACTGGTCTTTGAACTACCCATTTCCCTAGTTCTGGTAGCGTAGTGGTTACAAATTGAAACTACCAGTTGTTCCACAGGAGAAAGATGAGGCTTTCTGCTCCGGTAAGATTTACAGCTTTGGAAACTCTGTACAGGATTGCTGTGAGTCAGAACCTACTCCACGGCACATTACCATCAGCATCTCTGAGGGTCACAGTAAACGCTGTGCTGAAAGGACTATATAGTGTCACAGGTAGTGGAGATGGTTGGACTTGCCACAACAGCATATGTCTGTGAGTTCTCCTACAATAAAGTGTGAGTAGATCTAACGCTGTATGGGAGAGGCATGCTTTAGTAATCGGAAGATCGACGCAATCATTTGATGAGGAGAACGTGTTCATTTCTGTGGATAACTGGATCCACACACCAGAGGAACAAATGATAGGCTAGAGGATCCCACTGAAATGTCTCAAACGCAAGAAAAACGGGCTGAGCCAAATGTTACAGATTTTTATCTCCTCTTCATGGTGCTATCCTAGGAATTGATGTCCTTGATGTGGGTGGCAGTAATTGAGGGGTGGGAACTTGAGGAGCTCTGTAAAGTACACTGACTTGTAATACTGTGTCACTCAGGTATGAAGTTTTACAGTTCTGCTGGCTGTCACCAGACAAGAGACCGGCAGCAGAAGATGTCCACAGACTGCTGACCTACCTGCGGATGCAAAGCCAGAGGGACTCAGAGGTCGACTTCGAACAGCAGTGGAACGCACTGAAACCAAACACAAGCAGCCGGGATGCTTCCAGCAGCGCTGCGTTCCCCATTCTCGACCACTTCACCAGGGACCGACTTGGCCGTGAAATGGAAGAAGTCCTCACGGTGACAGAAACGAGCCAGGGTCTTAGCTTTGAGTACGTCTGGGAGGCGGCAAAGCGTGACCACTTTGACGAGCACAGCCGCATAGGCCCCGAGGATGCCTTGTCCTACACCAGCATCTTCTTCCCAGTGGAGGTCTTTGAGAGCTCGCTGTCGGATCCCGGGCCTGGCAAGCCAGCCGAGAGTGGCCAGGATGTCCCACTCAGGGCCCCAGGAGTGGTCCCCGTGTTTGACGCCCACAACCTCTCGGTGGGAAGTGACTACTACATTCAGCTTGAAGAAAAAAGTGGCAGCAACTTGGAGCTCGACTACCCAGTGGCTCTGCTTACAACCGAGGTGTCTCAGCCTGAGAGGGTGAGTGATGACACATCCCAGTTTGTGGCCCTCCAGAATCTTGAATTCGAGGAGTCCAGCACCGAGGAGGAGTTCTTCCAAACCAGTACTGACCCCAGGGATTCCAGCATACCCGAGGATCTGCATGTGACCAGTGGGCCCGAGAGCCCTTTCAACAATATCTTCAATGATCTGGACAAATCAGAGGAGCTGCCCAGTCATCAAAAAATGTTTGACTTGATGGAACTAAATGGAGTGCAATCGGACTTCAAGACAGCCACTCTGCATTCAGGCTCAGATGAGCCGGGAGCATCTGTAATTCCCTGCCCCTTTGACAAAGAAAATTCCCAGAAGCTTTTTAACTATGATCCTCTTTGCTTATCCGAAAGCCAAGGTCATTTTGATCCACTGAGTGTTCAAGAATTGTCAGAAAACTTTTTATTTCTTCAAGAGAAGAACTTGTTAAAAGACTCATTGTCCAGTAAAGAGCATATAAATGACCTTCAAACAGAGCTCAGAAATGCTGGTTTTATTGAAACCATATTGGAGGCTTCACCCAGACACTCTTTAGAGCATGAACTGAAGTTTGCTGATGGTCAGCTTGGCTTGTCTGAGTTACAGGAAGATGTCAGGGCTAAGGGTGAAGACCTGGGAGTTACACTGGCGGGCGACAGTCTAAGCATGTCATTGCCCTCTTCTCCAGAGGCACAGCGACCTTCGACCTCACTCAAAGCAGAAGCCCAGATGCCTAGCCGTGAGCCCTCAGAAGCACCCCTGAGTCAGGCTACGGGCCCAGCTGTCATTGTGCATGTAGAGGGTCCCTGCCGAGCAGTGGCTTTGGACTCCAGGGCTGCCCCTGCTGTCAGTCTCTCCACTGATAACAGAATCCAGCGTGACGGGACGCAGGACTTGACTGGACCATGTGAGGAGACCTCGAGACTCAGCCACAGCAACTCTGGGGGTCTCGGTGACACCTTTGCAAGAAGGACGAGCTCAGGTACTCATCTCCCAGAATTGAGACAGAACTTGGAAGACCCGCCACTACCAGACATCCAACACGGGGGAGGCTTGCTGGAGAGGAGTGTAGAGGCCACGGAGCCTGTCAGTCAGGTGGGCCTGGTGTCTGCCTTGTCCTCAGACTCCACCAGCCAGGACAGCCTTTTAGAAGACAGCTTGTCCACACAGGTAGCGACGTCGGAGCAGTCTGCGGAGACCCCAGACTCCCTGGATTCCGTGGACGTACACGAAGTCCTCGACTCTCTGGGTTCTCGCTCGCCTCAGAAGCTCCAGCCCCCTGACAAGCCTGCTGACAGCGGCTATGAAACTGAGAACTTGGAGTCTCCTGAGTGGACCCTGCACCCCGGTCCTGACAGCACCACCGATGCCGACTCCGCCACACTGGGTGACGACAGTTGTAGAGGTTTGCCTCCCAACCCTGTCATCGTCATCTCCGATGCCGGTGACAGCCACCGTGGCATTGAGGTGACCACACAGGCCTCGGCGTCCGGCTCCCAGAGCTCATACCGAGACTCAGCCTACTTCTCCGACAACGACTCCGAGCCTGAGAAGAAAACTGAAGAGGTCCCTGGAATACCAGCAGCGGCGTCAGGGTCCCTGCCTGAACCTGTCCCCCCAGAGCAGAGCCTTGGTGCCGAGGACCATTGCCTGGAAGCCCAGCAGGACCAGGCGGATCTGAGCCATCTGCTGTCGGCCCCAGGGAACTCCGGACCCCTGGAGCCAAGAGAGTCCTGGGGGCTGGTGCATATCTCCAGTCAGACACCACCCCTTAAAGACGAGGCTGGAAGCCCCTGGAGTTTGCTGAATTCAGACCTGGGCGGCAGCAGTGACGACCTTGAGATGCAGGAAGACCGTCCCTGCACCCACACTTCCACTGGCACCAACACTAACGAGCTCCTCGCCTACACAAATGCCACACTTCAGCCTGGTGGCCCTGCAGAACTGCTGGTGGACAGGTCCCTCTCTGGCCACTCGGAGGGTCCCAAGCTAAAGGAGCCAGACATGGAGGGGAAGTACCTGGGGAAGCTCAGTGTCTCGGGCATGCTCGACCTCTGTGAGGACGGTGTGGATGCCGACGAGGAGGACGAGAACAGCGACGACTCGGACGACGACCTGAGGGCCTTCAGCCTCCACAGCCTCAGCTCCGAGTCGGACGACGAGACGGAGCACCCTGTGCCCGTGGTCCTCAGCAACAGCGAGGACAGCAGACACCTGCGCAGCTTGTTGAAGCCGGCTGCTCCCGTGGCTGTGGATCCACGCCCAGACGAGGCCTGGAGAAAGGAGAAGAAGGCAGTGACGTTCTTCGATGATGTCACCGTCTATCTGTTTGATCAGGTATCTGTTCTCCCCCAGTGTCCTGTCGTGTGGAGATGGAGCAAGGTCTGTCCTGGTCGCCATAGCAAGGCAACCGGTGGTTTCTGATTGTTCAGAAACAAAGAAGTGCGGGTGAGCAACGCATCCTGGTGTGGCACTGTAGGATAAGCACTGGGCTGGTAACCACCAGGTCGGCGGTTCAAACTCATCAGCCACTTCTTGGCAACCCCATACAGGGTCGCAGTGAGTTGACAATAATGCGTCCAGTGTAATTTGCACAGGGAATGCATGCTGAATTAAGGGTGGGAGGATACCTGGCTGCCCGGCCTTTGCCTTCTGACTCGTGGGCACTAGTGCCCGGTGCAGAAAAGCAGGTGCGCTGCTGTCAGTACAAAGGAGCATGCAGGGGTGAGAGGGGTGTGTGGATACCATCCAGCTCCCCACCTCCAGATCCTGTAAGAGGAGGCACAGGCTTACCCACCTGCCCTGCCCTGGGTTTGGTATGCAGCAGGTGTCTCATAAGAAAAAGCATTTGCTGAATTGAATGGGAGGACCACAGAGCTCTGCTCTTGCCTGCTGGGCAGGTCGCAGAAAGCCAACCACTCTCAGCTCCTAGGTTCCAGCCACATTCAAGAGAAAACAAAACAACAGTTGCTAGGAAGTTGTCAGAGTTAAAACTGCACTCAGTAGGGTTTTCATTGCCCGTAACCTTTACAGAAGCAGGTCATCAGACTAACTTTCTGTTCTTAGCTGAGCACTTAACTGGTTGGGCCACCCAGGGACTCCTTCCTGGCACATAGTAGGAATCCTGTTGATCAAGTGAATGTGAGGTGTATCAGATTGGGACAGAGTGTGACTGGCTTCTTGTAGCCCCCTCACCCCACCAGGGACCCCTCATCTGGCAGCTGATGGAGAACAGAGGGTGTAATGGGGCATCTGGGGCCTGTTTGAGTCTTCTGCCCCAACCCTGTCTGTCCCCCATCCATGGTCGCTGACCCCGTGCCTTCATTGTCCCTGCTCTAGCCAACGGCTTATTGTGCGCTCTTCAGTTCCTGTAAGAAACAGGTTGTTGTTGTTAAGTGCTATCAAGTCAGTTCCAACTCATATGATCCTGTATAGAGTGTCTGAGGAGCAGCTCGTGAGCTTGAACATCTGACCTTGCAGTCCAGCGCATTAACCCACAGCACCATACCGGGCCTCCTAAGCTCCTGATCCGGGTATCCCCTCTCTTCCATGTCCTTTGCTTACCAGCCTTTGTAGCTCTGGATTTGCTCTCTAGGTGAGCCTGTCAGTAGAGGTCTGTTGTTGGCTTGGCTGGATAGGACCCCCACGCCCCAGAAGGTGCTGCGTCCTTGTTGGTCGTCTCCTGAGACTGGCTGGCCTCCCTCTAATTTTTTTTCTTACAGCCAAGGCCTTGTCCTCTCAGGGGCTGAGCTGCTGTTTCCCATCATCCATCACTTTGAGTCTGTGATGTGTTCACTTTTGTTTGATGTTTATAAACAAAAGCATGATGTGCAGATAGTGTAGTGGTTATGAATCAGGCTGCTAACCTCAGGGTCAGCAGTTCGAAACTGCTAGCTGTTCTGCAGAAGAAAGATGAGGCTTTCTGCTCCTGTAAAGATTTACAGCTTCGGAAACCCTGTACAGGGTCGCTGTGAGTCGGAACTGACTCCACGGCACATAACAATAACAATCCCCATTTTAACTACAGTGTGTCTTGTGGGCAGAGGGAGGTAGGTGGATGTAAGTTGAGTCCAAGATCCCCCTGGCTCACTGACTGACTTAGGTAGGGAGCCTGTGTTTCTCATGAATTCCAGGTCGTTCATACATGGGTCCAAACTGAAGACCCTCGGCACCGAGGGGGTCCAGGATCACTCTGCCCCAGGGTTAGTGTTTTGTCACCCATCCACATTTGCACCTCCCTCTCCTTACTGTCTCTGTGTGCTGGCATTGCCAGCTCACCCCCTGCTGATGGGGGCAGGGCCATGCCTCTTGTCTGAGCCCCTAGGGCTGCTGGGAGGCTCCACCGGGGACCTGTGTCCTGCTGTTGTTAGATTTGCCTTTTTTAGTTCATTTTGGTTTCATGAGAACATTTTCCTAAAAGAAAACTAAATGTGAGTGTAAGACCCACACCCTGATTTGAAGAGTATTTTTTAAAAACCATAAACTGAAGGAAACCAAATGTGCCTATGTTTTACCACTTGGAAAATAACTAGAGAAATGAAGAAAAGCATGGCTCGCCCCAAAGTGCTCTGTCCCCAGTGGAATCCTCAGGCCCGTAGGATTCACACATTTGCACATCATCTGGGTAGAATAGACCCATGGCCCTTTAAAGCATATGTTGAATGTTTGCAGAGACATACACTGAACCATCACAACTGAGGTATACAGGCCGACCTCAGAGATACTGCAGGCTTGGTTCTAGACCACCACAGTAAAGCGGGTATGGCTGTAAAGTCAGTCACACACTGGTTTGTTTTTTTGTTTCCCAAAGCACATGATGAGTCCGGTGTGGCGCTTTAGGATAAGCACTGGACCGCAAGGTTGATTTGAATCTCAAGGTGGCAGTTGAAGTCCACCAGCTATTCCTTGGAAACCTGATAATAGGGTCCCTCTGCATCAGAACCAACTCAGCTGCCCTTGACAACAGCACATTTGACAGGTGCGTTGACACTAGGCTATAGGCTCTGTGGATTAGGTGTTGGCCTGCTAACAGCAAGGTCATGGTTGAAACCCACCATCTGCTTTGTCGTAGAAAGATGCTATGTCTGCTCCTATAGATTGACAGCCTTAGAAACCCTATAAAGGGTCGTTAGGAGTTGGAATCGACTTGATGACAGCAGCTTTGGTTTTTGGTTTTGGCATTATGAGAAAATTTGAGACATTACCCACATGGGACACAGCGACGCAACAACACAGGCTGTTTAGAGAAACATTGCCGATAGTTGTTTGATGACGCAGGGCAGCCACCGACCTGTAGTGTGTAAGAAACGCTGCTCAGAGCAAAGTATGCCTGTAGCTCCATCAGCCATGCTTCCCCAGCCCTTCCTGTTTCCTTGAGCTGTGCTCTCTTGTTCGCATGTCCCCTTTTCTAGAGCTGATTGTGGAATAGTGGTGGGCTCACGGTGTTTGTAGCCCATGTGTCTGGAATCTCACACTCTGCAGAATGATCTTGTGCTGAATCATGCTGTTGAATGTTTTCATGGCCAAGTAGCAATCCAGGTGTGGGTATATCACATATTATTTGTTCATTCTTCTGTCCAGCAGACATTTACACCATTTGGGTTGTTTCCTTTTATTTTACTTTTTAAATTAACCCCGTAGCTCAGATCTCACAGCATAATGGACAAACACAGTCCTCCAGACTGACAAATAGGCAGGTGTCAGCCACACATCTGGGAATCCACACGACACCCTCCCTGCGGACCTGCTGGATGCCAGCTGCCAGCGAGCTCAGGAGTGTCCCTCTGGGCTCACCTTCACTTTCTGACCTGCTGGCTCTCACTGCTCCTTTGAGTTCCGTAACTCAGTAGACCAACTCGCAAACAGTGTATCCTTGACAACTGCAGTTTCATGATGGCAAAAGAAGATACAAATGAGCTGTATCAGACAGAGACTGGGAGGGTCAACCCTCCCAAAGGACCCTTCCCCTCCTGTATGTGGGTGTCTGTCACCAACTGGGAAGCCCCTGGAGTTCCCGTGTCCAGATCCTTCCTTGGAGCTGCGTTATATAGGCATGCTGACTGAATCATGCCCCTGCCCCCTCCCTGTCTGATGTCAGCTGATATCAGACTGCCAGGTAATCTGCCTGGCCTGGCTAACCCCACATCTGTTAGATAGAGTTATTTGGGGTAAGGTTAACCTAAACCCCCATATCACCACACTTTCTCTAATCATCTAACTATTCTTCGTTTCAGAGCGTTTTTGTCATGAATGGCTGTTGACTGTTAGACCATGCAGTTCTTCGGTTTAACAGTGTTACCACTGGATTATATTGCCTTTCAGCCTTGCATTCCTGGAATAAAGACCACTTTTTTGTGGAGTTTTATTCTTTTCATGTTACTGGATTTGGTTTGGTAATATATTGCTGAGGGTTTTTGTCTTCACGGAGGTATGTTGTCTGGCTTGGTTATCAAGGGTAATGCTGGTCTCATAGAATGAGCTGGGAAATCTTTCCTCTGAGTTTCTGGAAGAGTTTGTGTAGATTTGCTGGCTCTTTTTCCATCTTTAAATGTTTGGTAGATATTTGCCTGGGAATTCCTTTTACAGAAGTTATAAGATTACTAATTTAATTGTCTTTAATAAGTATCGGATTTTCAGATTATCTATTTAATTAATCTTGGGTGAGTTTTGATGATTCCTGGTTTTGAGGGATTTGTCCATTTCATGTAAGTTGTTAAATTAATATGCCTGAGAGTTGTTTGCAGTGTTCCTTTATTGCCTTCTCAGTACCTCTGGAATCTGTAGTGTTGGCCTCTATTACTCCTGATATTGGTCATGTCTGCTTTCTCTGTTCCATTTTTTACTTGGTAAGATTGGTTAGAGGGTTATTGCAAAAACCTGGCATCAGCTTGCCCTGCTACAGCACGCTTCTCAGGTGAGCTCAGTGATAACTCATCACAGTTACCACACAGAACTCAGACTGCATCCTCACAGTTACAGGGTTTGTTCAGGAAGTTGTCTTCTCGTCAGTTCCAACTCATAGCGACCCTGTACATCAGTCCTTACAGGAGCCAGCATAAAGTCTCATCTTTCTCCCTAGGAGTGGTTGGTAGATTCACATTGCTGATCTTGAGGTTAGCAGCCCAAGGCATAACCCACTGAGCTACCAGAGCTCCCCTATGAAGAGGTTACAGTGCAGGGTCAGAAATATTCAGGGGACAGTTCCAGTCAGGACAGCCGCCCCTCTGCCCAGGCAACATTAGGAAGCTTTTGTAGAGCTGCTGGTAAATGCCCAGGGAACACGTCAGTTTTCCATGAGCCTCAGCATGAAGACTCTTATTAACTCCATGGGTCTGCCAACCTAGCTTCTCCCCCACGCCCAACCCTGAAATAAGTGTCCGGAGGTACCCCACTCTACAAGCAAGCTTCCTGCCCCAAGGCACCCAGCTTTCCTTGCTCTGTGGGCTGGGAAGTCTGCAGCTCTGTCTGGTGCTCTGGGTCTTTGTTCTGCTGCTGCTGCTCCTCTGCCCCTCCTCAGTGTCACAGCTCTCTGTCCCTGGGTCTAGGAGGGTCAGTGTGCAGGGATCTTGGGGTCCAAAAGATGCGCTCCACTCCTGGTCTTCTTTGATAGCAGTGAGATTTTGAGATTCTCCTCATCTGCATCTAAGATGGCTCATTTTATACTTAGTAGAATGGCAGAATTGACCAATCACATTTAGCTCTGTTACCACTCACTGACAGCTGAATCATACTCCATTAGCATCCTCCTCTACCTTTTCTTACCCAGGCCCATCAGGAAAAAGTCTTGCTGATATTCTAGATTGTGGAGGTGAAGATCTGGATTCCAGATTTTAGGTCAAAGTTTAGGATTGAGGTCCTTCTTTTCTAATATTACCATTTAATGCTATGTATTTTCCTTTCATGTACCACTTTGGCTGCATCCACAAATTATATTCATCTTCATTCAGCTCACAATATTTTCTAATTTTTCTGTGGGGCATCCTCTGCTCCATGGATTTTTATTTTAGAAGTTTATTGTTTAATTTCCCAGGGCTGGAAATTTTCTTGTTATTTTTCTGTTACTGATCTAGTTAATGCCATTTTGATCTGAGAGACATGTTTTTGTATGGCTTCAGTTCTTTTAAAAATGTTAAGGTTTTGCTGTGATCCAGGATACAGCCTGCCTTGATGAATATCCCTGTGCACCGAAACAGTGTTGGTGGCGGGCGGGTTGTGCCAATTAGATCCAGTTGGTAAGAATGCTGTTCAGTTCTCCTATATCCTTGCTGGTTTCCTCTCTGGAGTAAAGTCTCCAGCTCTAATTGTGGTAATTTGAAGCTCTGTTGTTAAGCGTCATCAAGTTGGTTCTGACTCATAGCAACTTTACATAGCAGGGATGGGTATTATAAGGCCCTTGAAACCATTTGGTCTGGCCCTGCCAAAGCAACTGCAGTTCCAGCCATCACATTGTTGGTTCTCTTAAGTGCCGTTGAGTCAGTTCCGACTCATAGCGACCCTGTATAGGGATTCCAAAGAGCAACTGGTGAGTTTGAACCGCCAACCTTGTGGTTTAAAATGACCTTGGGCCACCTTATTAGGGGTGAGTTAATAAATGTTTGACCAAATACAGCAGGCTAATTTTTAAGTTGAGCATTTGGTATGGTCTGTGAAAGATGTCATAAATTTTGGCAGAAGAAGGTTCCCCAGCCCTGCTGTATATGTAGGGTTCTGAGGAGCAGCTGGTGAATTCGAACTGCTGGTCTTGCAGGTCAGTGTTTATCCTACATAATTAGCATCATTATAGCTCCTTAGTGAATTAATTTTATTATTAGATAACTTCTTTATTCCTTTGTCTGAAATTCAGATAATTACATTAGCTTTCTTTTGATTCATATTCGCATGGTATGTCTTATTTCACCTTTATACTTTGGAGTCCTGGTGTGGTGCTACAGGATAATGCACTGAACTGCAAGGTCAGTTTGAGCTGCAACGTCGGCAGTTCAAACCACCAGCTGCTCCTTGGAAACCCTATACAGGGTCGCTATGAGTCGGAACAACTTTGAGTCTACATCTTTTGTGATATTTAATTTAATATAGATAGCATATAGTTGGGTAGTTCTGGAAATCCCTATCTTTTAATTGGTGTATTTGGACCATTTACACTTTATATAATTATTAGTGCAGTTGGGTATGTGGGCATCATGGAGTCTCTGGTGAATGTGCGTAACTCCTAAGCAGAGAGATGGGTGTTTGAATCCACCTAGCATCACCTTGGAAAAAGCCCTGGCGATGTACTTTGGGAAAATCAGCCACTGAAATCTCTGGAGCACAATTCTACTCCGACACACATGGGATCCCCAACGAGTCACAACTGACTCAGAAGCAACTGGTCTTGGTTATCTTCCATTTTAGCACTTTATGGCATGTCTGGGTTTCTGTGGGTTTGTCCTTGTCAGGTTCATGGAGCTTCTTGAATCTGTAGCTTTATGTCTTTCTCCAGATTTCAGAAGCGTTCAGTCATTATTCCTTCAAATACTTTTTGTACACCACCCTGCCTCTGGTCCTCTGGAACGCCAATGTTAGTAGAGTGTCAGGTATTGTCTCACAGATGCTGAGGATTTATTCCTGTCCCCTGTCCCCGTACCCCCATCTTTGTCACTGTTGTTGAGACTGAGTAATTTCTGTAGCTCCATCTTCCAATTCATTGATTCTTTCTTCTGTCATGTTTTATCCACCCATTTATATATATGCATTTATTACTGAGTCCGTTTTAACTCCTAGTGGCCCTGTATGGGGCTTCTGAGGAGTGGCTGGTGGATTTGAACCACTGATCTTGTAGTTAGCAGTCCAGCGCTTATCCTACAGTTCCACACCATGTATTTTATTTATATGCGTACATATATGTTTTCTTTTGTGGGTTATAGGTGTTCCTGAGTCTTTGTACATTGAGTGGTTGTAGGTTATAGTCTCGTAGTGTGTTGTGCAACTCTGCATCTTGTTGCAGTCTTGTGAAGAATGTTGATATTTTTGTTTTAGCAAGCAGTAAGTGTCCCGGGCGAATTCAGGCACAAGTTCCAGCTAGCCTTGTATGCGTTGTGGTTTATGGGGTCACATTCCTGAGCTGTCTGCACTATCCCCATGCTCTCTGAATTCTTGGTCTCTTGATTTGGTACTTTAGCCAGAGGCAGTTTCCTATATTGTGTTCTGAGCCATGCTTCCTGGAAGCAACTGGAGGGTTCTCTTCACTCTGCTCAGGTCACAGTCCACCCAGCTGGAGAGAAATGTAGACCCTATACAGCTGGGAGTGAGAGAATGAGAAAAAACTAAAAAAGATCTCCAGTGTCCCCTCTACCCTGACTGGGTGCCGAAAATCCTCGCCTGTCCCTGGGGCTGGAAGTGAAGGCATCATGTTGGCTTTGGGGCTGAGTTGAGGTCAGGGGATGTGGCTCTCAGGGCCTTGTCTTTTCCCGACTGCTTTTCAGAGCCCTCAGAGCATTGCTTCAACCCACCCGACCCCGGCCTGCAACCACTGTGTTTCACATCAAAGGTGTTGCTGGGCTGGGAGGCAGGTGCCCTGTGCTTCACGCCAGCAGATGTTTGCTGACGGGAGTCTCTGTTTGACTTCTAGGAGACCCCGACCAAGGAGCTGGGGCCCAGCGGAGGCGCCACACACGAGCCCGAGCTGAGCGGCTCAGCTCCTGCTTCCAGCTCCCTTTACCTGAGCAGGTGCACCAACTCAGAGAGCTCAACTGATGAAGAAGGTATTCCAGCTCCCTGGTGGGTCTGGAAGGAGGCTGGGAAAGAGTGCCTGGTTGGTGACAGTTGACAGGCCCTCTCGGGTCGTGCTCACCTGCACACACACCTCTGCCTCTCGTGCAGAAATGATACAGCGGAGTTGCTGTGTGTTGTTTCAGGCAGCGGCTTTGAATGGGATGACGACTTCTCCCTGGACCCTTTCGTGTCCAAGACGGCGAGCAGCCTACTGGGCTCCAAGCCTTCCCTACAGACGCTGAAGTACTTCTCTCCGCCCCCACCGCCCCGGAGCGCTGAGCAGAGCTGGCCCCATACGGCGCCCTATTCCCGGTTCTCCATCTCGCCCGCCAGCATCGCAAGCTTTTCCCTCACTCACCTCACGGACTCGGACATGGAGCAAGGAGGTGAGGGTGTGTGGGGGGAGTGTGTTACCAGTGTCCTCACCCAGCCCGCAGAGAAACAGCTCTTCCAAAAAGGCTATTTTCTTAAGAGCTCTTGTGATTCTGGGATGGAGCCAGATACTCTTGGCTCTTCCCCTGGGAATATTGGTTTTGCCATTAGTCTAGGTCGCCGGGAGATAGCCGAAGGGACTGGGTGGCATTCAACTGGCAGGGGCACATTTGAAGTCGTACTATCTGAACATGTGGACCCTTTTTTGTCCCCGTAACTCAATTGAAAGATAAGTGTTAATAGGTAGACTTTATAAATGTGAAGTGTGCGGGTCACATGACAAATGTGAACTCTACAGAGCTTGTATTTGTGTGTGTACTATGTCTTATTTGCACAGATAAGATAATGCCCATTACCTAATGATCTGTCGGCGCGGCCGAGGTTTGGAGGTCAGGCTTGTTCTGAGCGCTGCCGCCGAGCGAGCCAGTGAGTGAACGTGTGAGTTCAAACATGTGTTTGGGTAGGTAGGAGCGTCTGGCAGGTGTTACTTTTGAAGGAAGAAAAAGTGCAGCTTGGGCAGGTGGTGGATATCCAAACACTGGCCGCTTGCCTTTCCCGCACCGTGGTTAGATATTAATTATCCAGCTGTTAGTGTCCATGACGATTGTTTTAAAAGGCCCACCCCATGCCTCCTCTCCTCTCTCTTAAACAGGAAGCAGTGAAGATGGAGAGAAAGATTAAGTGGGTGCCGACGCCCCCCTCGGGCCGAGGCTGCGCCCTCTGAGCCACATCCCTGCTCTGCCAGCCTGAGACTGGACGTCCACTCCGCTTCCACTGAGACGAGGCTGCGAGAAAGAACCAGATGGTGGAAGGAAGGAAGAGGCGGTGGGCTCCGCAGGCCCAGAAGGAGTGGCGAGGGGTGGGAAGCCACACAAGTGGTCGTCCTCCCAGGCGGGTCGCCATCTGCGCTGAACTGAGCGTGGTGGCAGGGTGTACCCGCTCCCGTGTCGTATGTCCTGTCTGCGTCTGCGCCTTGCTGAGGATGTGGGCATGGGAGCGACCGTCGCGAGCCATATTTATTACTTATTGAAGAGATCGCAGATTGCTTTCTGTAATTGCACTGTGGACAGCTGTTCTGAGAGTCCCTGATATTGTACAGAACTTTAAATTATTGAAGGAAAACCAGGCAGGTCAGTCTGGTGCCGCCCACTCGTTTGATTTCTTTTTCTGTCTTGTCCGTTTGCTCTGCATGGTACATGCTCTTGTCTGAGCTGCTCTGAGTGTTTCGCAGGGACGGCACACGTGGTACTCTTTCAGAAATGGTGAATGATTCCAAACGTCTGTGTTTTTAATGTTCTTATAGGAAAGGTTTTGGGGGCGTCAGAACACGGCTCCGTTTTGTTGACTGAATCAGACCGTTTCTGCTGTCTTCTCTACAAGGTGGTTCCCCCGCAGCAGACGAGGCCTCTCCATCTGATGCTGCCACATCAGCCCCCACATTTTGTAAGCCCCTCTAGGTAAAAAATGGCAGGTCGTGTGCCTGGAACTGGGATCTCCAGAGGAACCACGTGGACTCCCTCTCGCTGACCATTGGCTGTCCGAGTTGGGCTGTGGACTGTGTGGCCTGTTCCTCTCAGATTCGGAGTCTGCTACTCGTCTTTTCCAGGCCAGACTCCCAGTTAGTTTCGGCATTTTTGTGAATATTCTTGTAACGCTGTGACTCATTCTCTAAACAGGCGGCAAACTCCAGGGGAAGAGCCTCTCCCGGCCCCTCAGGGTGTTGAGGACATGTGCACCCTCCAGGTGGTGCTGGCTTGGACTTTCAGATACTCCTCAGAGCCCACTTTCTCCCTTGTAACCAACTCCCGGTACGGCACCACCTGGGAAGAGGCACCACAACCTGGAGGGGACAAGGGCAGAGCCTTGGCAGCCAACATGTCCCCCAGCTGGGACAAGTGGGAGTCTACAGCACTTGGGGTGCTGGCCCCAGACCCAGCCACCATAAACACCAACTTTCCCCCTGAGTGTGAAAAGGGCCAGGGGTTTCTGGTGCGTCTTCATACTGTTGGCAGGGATCAGGGGCTGGTAATGAGAAGCTGGCTGATGTCTTCAGACCCAAGTTCTGCTCTCACAGGAGAGCCAAGCGCAGTGACTGGGGAAGATGTCAGGACCAGGTGGGTGCTCGGTCTGTGGGACCACACATTGGCCCATCACCCCCAAGGGGCTCTGCTGTCCCAGCTCCTCCAGAACCCCTGGCTCCCCGCCCAGTGCGAGAGCCCAGGTCCTGGTCTAGAATGCTGTAGAGGTTTGTTTTGGCTCCTGTTTCTGTGGTAAAACATGACCTTTCTGATCAACTCGGGCTCGTTCTACTGATGTCTCACATTAGCAATAAAACTTCCAGAGCAAGAAACTTCAGAGGACACAGGCCTCTAATCCTGCCCAGCTTCTCACAGGCCTCTAATCACGCGGAGCGCCAAGGGTGGGGGTCCCGTGGTACCTGTACCAGAAAGAAACTACCAAGGGGACACCAGACAACATTGCCAAACTTGTCTTAAATCTGAACTTGCTAGAAACTTACTGTTTCCGTAATTTTACATCTAATTACCAACCAGTCTTGGTTGACAGAGAAATGAGAGGCATTGATTATAATAGTTTTTTTGTATGTTTGTTTGTTTGTTTTAAACTGTAGACTCTGGGAGGTCAGATTTTATGATTAAAATCCAGCAGATCCATCAAATCATATTATTATCTGATCAGCCCCCGAGATTAACTGAGCTAATATCTTGGGGCTGCTCATTCTCACCAGGATTAAGGAGACTGTCATATCATTCCTATTTTAAGTTTCTCCCCCCCCCGCCCCCAACCAATTCAGCCACTGTGTTGAACTTGAATTTCAGTTTTTGTTTTTAAATCTCTTCTCATAATTAATTGCCAAGGTGGGAGGGGGTATTTTATAGATTGAGTTAGGGGGAGGGGTTTGGCCTATTAAATCGTACCTTACTGGGCATTGCATGACAGGAAAGATTTTCTATTTATACTAAACATGCAAGTTAACATGTTCTTTTGAAATCTCAAGCAATATAAACGAAATACATTGAATTATGTAGATCCAAATTCCCAGCTCATTGTTGAAATGTTCATATGAGCTTTGTTTTGAGATTCCATTTTTTAACAAATAAGTTGGATGCTGTAGTGGGTTTTCAAAACTAACTTGTTTGACCCAGTTCAGTGGTGAGGTAAAGCAGTGGGGTTGTGTCCTGTGATGTGGGCGAGTACAAGGGGGCTTCCAGAAGTTCATGGGAAAATGGAATGAAAAAAGCATGGACTTTTCTCCATGAGCTTTTGGAAGCCCTTTTGTTATTACCTAGTCCACAGTGATGCCACCTGGCCTCCTTTGGATAGAAATCCAGAATCGATTCTGCTTTTCCTTCATCTGACTTGGGAGGAGTTTATGCGCTTTCAGTCCTCTAATAAGCTAGATGTTCATTTATTTTATCAAATGATCCTTTCATGAAGCCCCAAGTAGAGATTGTATACAAAATGCCCCCAGAACCTTCTCCAACTCGGACTCAGCTAGGCTGAACTGAAAACCGGCCATCAGTTCTATTTTTAGACGTACAGGTGATTGTTTCTACAGAAATGAGAGGATCTACAAGAAGTCTGTGTGTGTCTTGCTGCGGTTAAAATGCCTTTCACAACCTCTCTTCCTTTGTCACGATTTCCTGTGGGGTATCTGTAGGGTTAACAACACTGCACATGAGCTCTGAGTGCCCAGGGCCGACAGGAGGCACCTCTTGCTCTTTCCACGCTTCTGCCCGTCCTTGGGGAATTCAGGACTGAATCCAAGTGTTCTGTGTCAGCTAGAGAGAGCTGGAAAAGATGAGCCTTACAAGAAGTCACTTTGACGTTAAGGATGGACAAGACACGGTCACTCAGGATCCAAATCTCAAAAACCACTAAGTAGTGATGGAGTCCCGCTGTAGGATAAACACTAGACTACTAACCATAAAGTCAGTGGTTCAAACCCACCATCGGCTCCTCAGAAACCTTATACAGAGTTGCTATGAATCAGAACCAACATTCAATGTCAGCACCTAACGAGTAGTGATGGGGGTTCAAGTCTCGGCTATTAAAAAGGAAAATCCTCCTTCAGATGTAAAACAAAGACTTAAAGGTGTGTTGACAGTATTGTATTACTTGGACAGCAAGGACACACACTTCTCTATCCCACGTTGTTCATGTCTATGCAGGAAGGCCGACGGGATGGGGGCAGGTATGTGCACCCACTGCCGAACCCCCTTTGCACGTTTGCGGACTGGGGCCCCTGGAACACCTACTAGCAGGCGCTCCTGCTCTGCTTCCACAGTCTCGAGCAGCTCTGGGCAATACACCAATTCATGAACTTTCCACCTAAATTGTGTACATTTTTAAATTGTAAGATTTTTACTGTATATTGATGCATAGTGTGATTCAATAAATTGCTTGTAATTTAAAAACTATTTAATATTCAAAATAAATATAGTTATATATTTATAAACTCTAGTGTTGCATTTATTCCATGTCTAACCCTGTGGGGGCTGTGGGTAGGTGGTCCCAGATACCAGTCCTTTTCCAAGCACACCTAACTAAAGATCCCCACACTCCTGTAGCTATGACCCAAAGCCTGGTGGTTTTCAGCAGCGTGATGTTTTCTGGGGTCTTCAACTGGCCCAGCACTCGCCACCACCCCTGCCCCCTCTTCCACAAACTAAGGCCCAACATGGGTGTGACCTTCAGGTTGTAGAGAAAGGAGATGAAACCCTGTGGTCCTTTTAACCTGCCTGTAAAAGGTGAGGAAGTTGAGGCAGGGCACTGTTAAGTAAAGCCAGTGGGTGACAGATGGGGCCACCTTCCATGATGTAGACCCAGGTTCCATTACCACCAATGAGCACCATGAGCAGCCATCTGTCAATGAAGGCTTGCATGTTGCTATGAACTTAAGCAGAACTTCCAAATTAAGACGAGTAAGAAAGTCCTGGCAATCTGTTACAGAAATCAGTCAATGAAACCCCTACAGTTTGTTGGTGAAGGGCCTGGCAACATTAGTTCCCTTGTGCCACAACGGTTGCCATGAGTCCACACGGCTAGAGTGGAGGGGAGAGCAGGTTTGGAGCCCCCCCTGCGATTCGGAAGCATTATTTTTGGTAAGGTGCCGCCTACATCTGACAGCCCTGTCCCTGCCGCCCCTGCAGCGGCCTGGGTGGGGCTGGGGCAGCCTCAGAGTCTGCATCCCACAACCTTGGGTGCCGCAGTGTTTCCCTGAAACCACAGGTGAAGGCTGGGGGTGGCCTTGATCTTTGGTTTCCGTTTCATCAAAACCAAGCATATTGTGCTTCGAGAACGCTGCCTGATTGCAAAACGACTTTTCCACGAATTACCCTCCACGCGCTAAGCGTTCACCCCAAGGCCAGGTGTAGCGACGACGGTCAGGTGCGACCTCGGGCTCCTCTATCCAAGGAATAAGGTTCTCGGGCTCGTTGGCGCCCAGGGTTTTCCGCATGCTCCAGGGACCAGGTCAGTGGCGGGGGCGGCCCTGCACGCCGGGGGCGGGGTATGGGGGTAGGGGCGCAGTCAGTCCTGAGACGCCAGGTGCCTCCTCCTCACATCCCGCTGGCCGAAACCCTGGACCGCCCCCTGGCCCCGCCCCGCCGGTACATTTACATGCGTCCGCGCCCCGCCTGGGGCGGCTAAAGCGACGTGTCCTTGTCCCCCCGTGGGCAGCCAACGCTTGCGGTCGCGGATCCTCAGGTACCGGAGGGTGAGGGTCCGGGAGGGGGTGAGGGGGAGGCCGCCAGGGGAGGGGACGTCTGGGTCCCAGGTGGCGGGACTAGGGGAGCTGCGCAGCCACTCGGGACCTCTGCCCCATCCCCAGGGCGTCTGTGATCTCTGCGCGGGTAACGTCCAGGACCGGTGTGTAGTCTCCGGGTTAGTCTACCCGCAGTTGCAAGGACGGCTGGGCGGCGGAGCCTGAGCAAGAATCCTCAGGGGCCAACTCCAGTGGTCCCCACAAGTGCCAGAGTTACCTAAGCCCCAGAGGCACTTGGGCCAGAGAAAGTCCAGGGGGTCAGTGGGTGCCATTGCTTCGGCCAGCGGGAGCACAGGACAGAAAAGGTCTACGGCTCCGTGTAGGGTCAGATCAGGACTCTGATGGGAAGGACCCGGGTTCCATGGCGTCCAGGGCTCAACTGCCCTTGGGCTTCGAGATAGGGAAGGATGGTGGGGGCAGGGTGAGCTCCAATCATGAGTATGCATCTGAGCGCCCACCCTGTGCCACCCATCATAAGCAGTATGCATCTGAGCGCCCACCCTGTGCCACCCACCATAAGCAGTATCCATCTGACCGTCCACCATGCGTCCATCATGAGTGCCCACCATGAGCGTCTATGAGGACTGACATGGCGCCTGTGTTTTGTATTTCAGTTTCCTAAGCCTCTTCCCAGTCATGAAGACTAAGAGCCGCACCTCAGGGCGCCGGGGGACCCCGCAGGGCGCAGAGTCCTCCACGGGGGAAAGCATGCCTGAGCAGCCCCGACCAAGTCCAGGGCCAGAGCCGGGCCGGGGCCTGCGCAGCCGGTCAGCGCGTGGGTCAGCAGGGACGCGGGCCGAAGCAGGACGCAGGCGACCCGGGCCAAGCAACCGGCGCGAGAGCAGCGTCCAGCGGCGGCTGGAAAGCAACGAGCGTGAGCGGCAGCGGATGCACAAGCTCAACAACGCCTTCCAGGCGCTGCGCGAGGTCATTCCACATGTGCGCGCAGACAAGAAGCTCTCCAAGATCGAGACGCTGACACTGGCCAAGAACTACATCAAGTCGCTGACGGCCACCATCCTGACTATGTCTAGTGGCCGCCTGGCGGGCCTGGAGGGACCAGGCCCCAAGCTCTACCAGCATTACCAGCAGGGCGCCAGTGAGTCCCCGCCTGAGGGTCACCTGCAGAGGTACTCAACGCAGATCCACAGCTTCAGGGAGGGCACTTAGGGCCATCTTGGGGGGCAGCAGCAGGCCAGCCTGCCTGTCCCCAACCAGCCCCTCCAGCCTGAGTCCACAGGGGTGACTCTGCCCTCGTGGCCTCAGCCCTGGTGGCCCAGGTTCCCTGAACACTCGAGTTACCTCCTGGAGCTGTTTTCCTGTTTCCTGGGGACAAGCAGTGGCAAATGTCTTGCTTTAGATGAACTGGTCTGACTAGGAAGCTGTTGAAAGGTCTTTGCAATTTTTCACCAAATTTTTTGCAGTTTTTCACCAAATTCTCTTCATCCTCCTCTCCCTCCAGAACAGGGATGGGCTGGGACCCTCCGCTCTGCATCATTGGGCAAGATGGGCCTAGACCTGGCCTTCTCATTTGGGGTAAACTGCGGCATGGAATTAGCTGAGCACAGGCCAATGGCAAACAGGATGTATACAAGAGCCCAAGTGCCTGAAACTGATCCCAGAGGGAACTCAGCTGGAAGAGGGGCTGGGGTATTTCCTTCCAGTCAAGGTGTGGGGTTCCAGGACGAGCCCAGACTATGGAAGGTTTGCAGCATGGCCTACCTGGGTCTGCTTGTGGCTCTGGTAAAGCTGGGCTCAGAGGCGAGGCTGGGGTCAGCACTGAGATTTCCTGGCTGCCCTCCTGGGTCCTTGGGGGGCAGCTGTGAGGTCCTCACAGAGCAGTCTGGGAAGAGAGGGACTTGTGTGCTTCCTGGCTTTCTGAAGGCTCCCCCCATGTCGTGTTTATCATTGGACACAGGGTCTCTGTGACTGGCAGAGGGTGGTCTGATGGGAAGGAGCCTGTGGCACACTGGTGTCACCCTAAGGAAGATGTGACATTCTGTCCATAAAGATGGCCACTCTGGGAACTTTATGGGACAGTTCTGCTCTGCCCTACACGGTCATACGAGTTGAGATCCTCTCCAGAACAATGGGTTTGTTTGGGTTGGTCTGATAGGATTTTAGGGTGTTCCTGGATGCTGGTGACAGTTGGGACTTTCTCTGCTGGAGCCAAGGTGGCTCCCTCCCCCCACCCTCAGAGACAGGGACAACAGGCTGCTTGGCCAGTCCCTGAAGCCTCAGGCCAATCTTCCTCATGCTGGGGCGTGCCTGCCCGCTGGCCTCAGACTTGGTGTCTCTCTTTTCTATCCCTGCTGGCATCTCCCCCCTGTTGTCCCTCTGTCCCCAGCCCAGCAGGGTCACAGGGCTGGCTCCAGTGAGGCCACCCTGAGGCTCTGCAGATGGCGGAGGCTCACACTGGCTGTGACTCCGCCTCAGCACAGGACACTTATTGCTCTGTGGGCCTCGGCTTTAGCTGGGGCCGCACTACAGGCAGCCAGGGCAGTGTCCGCTCCTACAAAACAGCCACTACCAACCAGTTCTGTTCCACTCTCTTCCAGTCAGCTCCTGTCCAGACCCTCCCAGGGCCTATTCCCAGTGCTACAAAGGGGGTCTTGGAGGGTGGTCCCCCTATCCTCTGCCTCACCTGGCCCAGCCATTGCACACCACTTGTCAGGCACAAACCCCCAGGTTCCCAGCCTGCTCCTCACAGGGTCCCCAGGTACAGCTTCTTTGTACCACGTTTGGGACAGATAGAGCCCACATCCCCCCCAGTGAGGGCGAACTGCCTGGTGAAATGCAAGCACAGGCCTGGAGATGTCCAGCAGGGGGGTAAGTAGTGCGGTTGGGGGTGGGGGGGGTGGGGACCCTTCACCTCTTTCTGCTCTCTGAGCCAGGCCCCAGCCCTGCCTCAGGTGGACAGTCTGGAACAAGTTGGAGAGACCCTATTCTTAGACCCCTGGTGAGCTCAGTGTGACTGAAGGCCTGACTGGCCCAGGGCGGTTTCCTACCGTCACCTGCACACCTCTGACCAGCGCCTACCCGCACTGCCCCATCCTGGGCGCAGGCCTGAGCAAAGCCATCAGCAACCAGAGCCTGGGGCCAGAGCTGTGATCCTGTTGGGGAGGGGGGTGGGGAGGGGAGGTTACCCGGATCTGTTTTCATTCTTCCTGGTGTAGTGCTGTGGGTTAATGCGCCAGACTGCGAAGCCATTTGAACTGTAAGGTCGGCGGTTTAAGCTCACCAGCTGCTCCTTGGAAACCCTATACAAGGTCACTATAGGTCGGAATTGACTCTATGGCACTTGACAACAACAACAATGGCCCCTGCTGACCACATGTGAACCCCATGCGAAAATACGCGCTTTCCCAATGCCAACCCTGTCCCCCTATACCAATGCAGTGCAGACCTTTAAATCACAACAGACCAATAAAGTGTCAGTTCGTCTGCCCTGTGGTGTGCACTTTATTTAACATTTATTGTACATTGATCTGAGGAAGTGGGACAACCCCACTGGGGAGGGGGCTTCACTAAGAGCTTTCCAGGACGATGATGCCCACCACAAGAGGGAATGCGATGCTGAAATGTAAATGGACAGGGAGGGGTCCCCTCCCAGCACACAATGTCCATCCTCCACCTGATTCATCTAAGAGCTTTACATCAGACACCCCTGCACCCCACACCTCCGCAAACATGCCAGGTCCCTCTTTATCTCCTGTGTCCAATACAGAACTGGATGCTGGCCAGCTCCCTGCTCCCTCGAGAGAGGCAGGTTGCAAACAGGGCGTTCGACCCCAGGGATCAGAGGACTTCAGTGCCGATGGCCACCTGGGCCAAGTGTCCATGCAGGAAGCAGACTGGAGACTCACCAAGTAGGATGCAGGAGGACAAGCAGCAGTGCTCTGCTCTCCTGCCTGGGGGGCCATGGGGGGCCTCGTCCGGGACATATGCTGGCTGGCTGGTGCCCTGGCTTTCCTCTGGTGCCCACTGAACCCCAGGGCAGGTTCCTCAGCAGGCGACCCCTCTGGCCTCCATGACAGGATCCCACAAAAAGTCCCCCTAACCCCCAAGCATGTCTGGGGCTGAAGAGGGTTACCTACTGACCAGCGATTCTGTCAGCACAGACAGCTTCCACCTGGAGAAGACATTTCACCCCGCCACCCTCTGAAATTTCCCATCAGCCACTTGTTTCCCAAACTTAGGACATAGCAGCCTTCCTGCTCCCACAAGGACCTTCTCTTTGGGGGGCAGGAGTATGTGGGAGGTGGGGTTACTACTGAGGTCAGGGGCAGTATTTCCAGGTTCCCATCCTGGAAATAAGGGCAGAAGGGAGAGGGGGTGGGAGGGGCCAGGCCCAAGGACACCACCCATACCAGCCCAGCAAGGGGCTTCACATTCTGGACTGTTCTGGAGCCTCCAGATCCCCACATCTCCGCGCAGCACTTGGGGGACAGGCTCAGGCGACCAGCCTCCCGATTCCACCGCTCTGCTCGCTCCCAGCAGCCTCAGCACTGCACCGGGCCACGGATGGTGTCTTGTGGGGGCATACTAGCCTCCTGAGACCCGGTCCTTGGAGCCCTGGTAGCATTGGCCCGGATAGATATGTGGTCCCAACCGCCCTAGAAGGAGAGAGCGTGTCATGGGGCTGTTGAAGCAGACCCTGAGGTGCCCTGGGCCAGGTGTCTCCAGCCATACCCAGACCAGACTCCAGTGTAGACTCCTACCCAGACAAGTACCCCGATAGTCAGAAACCCCACAACACGGCAGCCTCCTGCCAAACCCTCCCACAGCAGGATGCAGTGTGACCACTGGGAAACACAGGCCTTGCTTACCCCTATGCCGTAGTCCCAGCCCTGCCCAGTGGGCTCATGGGGCTGCACTCCCATGCGATGACATACTGTCCCCCGGCTCAGGCTGTGGCTCCCCTGGACCTTGTTGGCGATGACCCAGACCTGGAACACAGGCCCACTAAGCCCTGGGAGCAATGGGGCAGCTGAGATGGGACAGGGAGGGTCACCCAGCATGAGCCCTCCACCCAGGTCCCGCCTAGCACACACACCTGGTCCAGGGGTCCCACAGACACTTTGCGGACGTTGTTGGACACATGTTCCCAGCTGGAGCCCTGCGGGTAGCTGGGGGTGATCCCCTGTCGGTACCACAGGTTTCCTGGGGAGAGAGGTGGGGTCAGCAGAGGGACAGACATGGCTTCCAGAGGCCACCCCGCCTCCGCTGTTGGCACCCCCTGTACTGTGTGCTCGCCCTGTTGTGCTGAGCATGGCTGCCCCCTACCCTCTACCCACAGACACGGAAACTGAAAAACCAAACCCACAGTCGTGACATGGATTCCTACTTACAGTCCCTGTAGGATGGAGTAGAACTGTTCCATAGGATTTCTGAGACCAAGTCTCGGTGGTGTCACTGTGCTCAGCTGCCCACTCAGCCCAGGGGGAACAGACCACCCAGCACAGTTGCCAGTGCCCCACCCCCCAGCCTAACCTGGGAAAGAGGCATGTAGAGGCCTACCTCAGGGGCTGTCTCCATGGGTCAGCACCGATCTGAATGGACCCAGACCAGAGCTGGTGTCACCCAGGAGGTTACATGGACACTGGTCCTCACCCCTGGCCTTCTGTGTCTCCCAAGAATGATGTGGCGCAACAAAGGACCTCCAGGTTGACAGAGGCCCAGTGATGGGATTACCTGGTCCTACCTCGTGCTGAGACACCTTCAGCCCCGATCTACCTCACTCCCTACCTGGTGTCTCAGGGAGCCCAGGCCTCCTGAGACCTGGGAGAAAATTACTCACCATTCTCGTCCAAGGCATACACAGATGTCTGTCCAACAGACACCTGCGTCAGTCGCTGTTTTGGGGGGGACGGGATGTGGTACCAGCAGTCACCTGCAATGAGAGGCCTGGCTGAGGGTGTAGCTGGAGGGCTCCTTGGCCTAGGAGCCCACCCACTGCTCGGCAGCTCGCAGGGTGTTTTGGGTTAGGCAGGTGAACTGGTTTCTCTGCCTTACTGTATACATGACCAGCGATGGCCAGAACTGCCAAGGCCCCGTGTCCACTAATGCTGGCATGCAGACACCCAGGTGCCCAGTCCAGTCCAGGCTGGTGTGGGGGTAGTTACCCATCAGCTGGCCACTTACTACCTGTCCCTGCACTTGTCTGTTCTTCCCTCCTCAGGTTGCCCTGCAGAGCTGAACATGCAATAAACAGCCTGACCCTCCAGGGTGGGGAATGAAGCAAATAGGTGAGCAGATGTGTCCCTGTGGGTGGGCCGTCAGGGGATGGGATGCAAGCACTGAGGGAAGAACGGGGAGAGGGGAGAGGCAGGGAGCCAGAAACCAATGCCCAGAGGTGGGGGACATCTCCCTGAGGGGCTGCTCCATCCCCTGGGGACAGTGGATGGGTCCTGGCCCAGGCAGTGTCCACAAACACTTTGAGGTGGTTGAAATTGCCCAGAGGCCCTCATGATGAGGGCCATGTCTGTCCTGAGTAAGCAGTGCCAGGCTAGGATCATCACGGAGGCTGGGAGGGGACACAGAGCCTCGGTAGACACTCACCGGCAGGCTGGGAGGGGGACACAGAGCCTCTGTAGAAGGCAGAGCCATCTCGGGCCACAGCCCACACCTGGTGGCAGGCGCCCACGGAGACGCAGGTGAAGGGCTGGTCAGTGCCCACGTGCAGCCAGGAGGAGCCCTAGGATTGGGGTGGGGGTGTCACTGAGGTGGTGGCCTATAAGCACTGGCCTTGTCCCTGTCCCCCCAGGCCCAGGTGCTTCCATCACTGGCTAGTGGGTGGCACAGGAGGTGTGGGTTGGGGCCACACACAGAGGTGTTCTGAGCAGCCCTGACAGAGACTCGATCTTGATCATGTGACTTGGTTGTTTCATCCTCTGGCCTCAGGAGGGGACATTTTGGCTGCAAGACTCTGTGACAAATGATACCCTACACTGGGGTGCTCGACACCCATCTCCGACACTGAGCCTAGTGACTCCATTAGGCCCCGCCACCCCTGCCACCCCAGGGCCCTGTCCTAGGCAGCCTGCGCCCTCTGACCCAGAGGCCTGATCTCTGGAAGTCTGCCAGTACCCCTTGAGCCCCTGTGTGTGTGTGTGTGTGTGTTTGTGCTTACTGCAGGGTTGAGCTCGGACACGCCCAGGCGGCACAGCACGTCCCCTTTGTCACTGACGGCCCACAGGGCAATGCTGCCCTCAGCACCTGGACTCTCAGGGATGATGGACACATCTCCCAGGGCGATGGGGGCCACCTCCAGCCAGGGCCCGCTAGTCACCAGTCTGCATTTCCTGCGTGGGGTAGAAAGCACAGGCTGGGTCAGTGTGACCTCAATATGGGAGCTCACTCACTGCCCAGAGATCTCCCTAAACCCCAATCCCACTCCCTCCAGTCCATGCCAACTGACAGGGACCCCATAGGACAGAGAACTGTCCCAAAGGGTTTCCCAGACTGCAAATCTTTACTGAAGCAGACTGCCTCATCTTTCTCCCAAGGAGTGACTAGTGGGTTTGAACAGATGACCTCTGACAAGCAACCAAGCACTCCAGCAAGGCTCTGACCTCTCCCCAGGGGCAAGACTAGGTGCCAGGCTCCCAGAAGCATCTCAACAGCTAAGTCTCAGGGAGGGGAGGGGGACAGGTGTGACACTGAATTAGGGTATGGGGAGTGGCCTGGCTTCCCCTGCCTGCCCCACCTCCAGGCTCCCTCCCCCAAGTAGAGATTCGCTGACATTCTCTATTTGTCCTCAGAAACCAGAGAGCAAGAGGCCGGGAGCCCGCGGGCATTTCCTGGCCTGACATTTACTTTGATTCCATGTCCCGCCCAGCCCTTCCCGGTTCTTCCTTGGACGAGGTCAACCGCTCAGGGGCTGGCCTGGTGGCTGCGTACCTAGCCCAACACCGCCGCCTAACGAAGTCTTTCATGGTCTTGTAGCCACGGTAGGAACTACAGGAGGAAAGAGTGGTGTTAGATCAGTCACCAGACACCACAAGAGTCCCCCACACCCCACCGGGGATGAACCATGTGGTGAATTCAAAGGTGGTGCCACCCTCTGCTGTCCCTGCACCAGGCACCAGCAGTAAGGCCTCTGTCTGCAGGAGAAGGGGACGCCCCAGGTGAGGTCACCTGACCAGTCAGGAGGGTCTGTCTGGCTCACCCCAGCCCAGACCCTCCATCAGACCCCTTTTGGGGAACACAAGTCCTCTCTCCAGGTGAGGCTCCGGGGCTCTGGCCTCACAACACCTGGGCCCACTGGGCAGGGATGTGACTAGGTCCTGTCTGGACTGCTACTCTGAGACAGGTGTGCAGTGGGGGTTCTCCTGGGGCCCCCTCAGCTGCTTTCAGGACTCAGGGCTCCGGCTAGGCAGAGACCCGGGGTCCTGACTCACGGGATCACAGAGAGGAGCTTACGCAGGGAAGTCACTGGCGTACTGCCATCCCTCCTGGTCGGTGCCCCCAGGAATGCTGAAATCCACATACCAGTCGGAGACCTGGGGGGAGGCTGAGTCAGTGCAGAGGAAACCAAGGTGCTAGTCAGACCTGGGGGACCGCTGCGCCCAGAAACCAGGGTACCTGTCAGCACTGGAGGGGCTCCTCACCCTGACATTGAGGGTCTGTCAGAGCTGGGGGACCCCACACCCTGACACTGAGGGTCTGTCAGCACTGGGAAGCCCCACACCCTGACACTGAGGGTCTGTCTGTCAGAACTGGGGAGCCCCACACCCTGACACTGAGGGTCTGCCAGAACTGGGGAATCCTGCACCCTGACACTGGGGGCCTGTCAGTGTCTAAGGCAGAGCTGGCACTCACCCAGGTCCACTGCGGCGAGGGTGGCTTGGTGCTGGCCTTGGTCCGCTCCTGCAGCCCTGACGCATCGCTCCACATGTAGCGGTCAGTGGGCAGACCCCTGTGAGAGCAACACAGGGGATGAAGGAGAACGTGGACGCAGGTGCCCTGGTGGGAACCCTCCCAGGGGAAGCCTGAAGGAGCAGCAGCAGCCCCAATACGAATTCTGATGTCCGCTCTCTGTCATTTAGAACCACCTGCAGCGTGATCACGTTTGAGTGAAGTGGCTTTAAGAGACTAAGACAGCACCACACACTCAGAAGAGCGGCTGAAACAGAAAAGACCCAGACATACCCCAGGGCGTGCAGTCACACTGGAAAGATGTGAATGGCCCCCAATTCTCAAGATCTGATGCAGGAGATCTGAATGCACAGTCATTCTTTCCCCCTCCCCATTCCGGTTGAGTTGGTTCTAACACCGAGCGACCCTACAGTACAGAGTGGAACTGCCCCAAAGGGTTTACAAGACTGTAAATCTTTATGGAAGCAGACTGCTTCAGTTTGAAGAGCAGCTGGTGGGTTCAAACTGTCTACCTTCTGGCTAGCAGCACAATGCTTAACCACTGTACCACCAGGGCTCATTCCCTAAGACCCAACAATTCTGCTCATAGGTACCCACACGTGGACAAGTGTGTGTTGCTGCCTAACTTTCCACTTAGCCTGGACCAGACCCGATGTCCACCAGCAGCAGGACATGCAAACACATGGTGGTACTTTTGTGTATTACACAGCAAAACAGGAAATATAGTGAAAGAACTGTAGTTACAGACAACCACAAGGGTGAATCCCACAAATACTACAGAGTACACAGGACCAGTCACAAATACAGAATTCCATTCATGTCATGTTAAAACCCAAGTACTACTATGAAATCAAATGACGTATTGCATTAGGCAAATCTGCTGCACAAGACCTTTTTAAAGTGTTGAAGAGCAAAGATGTCAGCTTGAGAACTAAGGTGTGCCTGACCCAAGCCATGGTATTTTCAATAACTTCATATGCATGTGAAAGCTATACAGTGAATAAGGAAGACCATAAAGTAATCGATGCTTTTGAGTTGTGGTGTTGGAGGAGAATATTGAAAGTGCCATGGGCTGCCAAAAAAACCAACAGATCTGTGTTGGAAGAAGTGCAGCCAGAGTGCCCCTTGGAGGCCAGAATGGCCAAACTTCATCTCTCATACTTTGGACATATTGTCAGGAGGGACCAGTTGCTGGAGAAGGATATCATGTTTGGTAAGGTTGAGGGTCAGAGAAAAAGAGGAAGACCCCTAGTGAGATGAGATTGGCAAAGTGGTAGCATCAATGGGCTCAAGCATGGCAACAATTGTGAGATTGGCCCAGGACCGGGCAGTGTTTCATCCTGTTGTGATTAGGGTCACTATGAGTTGGTAACAACTCGACGGCACCTAACAACAACAACAGTGGATCCTGTAGATGTGGGAAGAGATGATGAAAGAGATGGGCCGGGGCATCAGGCAATGATCAGTGTCTTGACCTGGAAGGTGATTATGCTGGGGTTGGTTTGGAGATGACTCAATGAACAATGTGTACATTTATGTTTTATGAACTTAATATGTGTGATAAACCAAACCTGGTGCTGTCAAGTCAATTCCGACTCACAGTGATCCTATAGGACCAACCAGAATTGCTCCATAGGGTTTCTAAAGCTTTAAATCTTTACGGACACATACAGTCTCACCGTTCTCCCATAGCACAGATGGTGGATTTGAACTATCGACCTTCTGGTTAACAGCCGAGCATTTAACTAATGTCACTAGGGCTCTTTATGCAAGGATACTTCCTAATGAATGAGTTTGTACAACCTGCATCCTACGAACATCTGGTAAGCAGTTAAGAGCCAGTTTGTCAAAGCACCAGCTCCCTGGCCAGGTGTGATCCATTTGGGCCACTAGGATGCCCCAGTGCTCACCTGCTGGTGTAACCAGTGACTGGGTTCCAACGCTGGTTCTCATAGATGTAGACGCATTTCACGTCTGACTGTGTGTAGATGTTACTGGTACTGCTGGCCAGGCCTGGGGGGAGAGGGAGCTGTGGAGCCTCGGGGTTTGGGTCAGCAGAGGATGGGGGGCAGGGCCCAATTTGGGAGTACACCAGCTAGCTTCTCTTGTAGGGGCTGGGCCAGTGTGGACACCTCTCTGTGAACAGGACTTCGGCTAGAGAAGCAAATCTTGCTGCCGCGTGCCCTTCACCCTCTGTCCTTGGTGGTACCCCTCTCCTCTTCCTCAAGGCAGGTGTGAGGCCCACCTGCTCACTCCTTATTACAGAACTTCCTTGGACCTCACATAACCTCCATGGGCCCCAGGATGCTGTTTTGTAAAGTGATGACCGAAGCAATTCCTGCCTCACCCAATGGGAGCTGTTCCAGTAGTGCAGACGTGTGTGTGTGTGTGTGTGTGTGTGTGTGTGTGTGGTCTTAGTGGACCACTGCTCTATACTGATTCACTGTCCTCTACTGTGGGGCACGGAGCAGGATGCAGAATCATCCCACGTTCCTGCCTCCATTTCCTGCTGGGAGAGCCTCACAGAACTTGGGGGTGGAGTGGGGATGGGGGGTGGGCAGTTCAGCAGGCTCTTGTCCCCTAGAGCATGACCCACTTAACATACCCAGTTTTCATCTGACATGAGGGTTGAGGATACGACTGGGCCCTGGCAGCGGATCTTTCTAGAACACTCATGGCCCTTCCCCTCAGCTAGTAGGGTGCCACGGAGGGCTCTGTGGTCTCCAGCCTGGCCCTCGGGGGTCTCCCCAGGGACAGCCTGCCCTTCCCACATCCTCTGCTGGTGGTGGTAAGGGTCACCTGCTGAGTGGTCGCAGCAGCACAGGGTGGGGATTTGAGGAGGAACTCCCAGGACCTCTGGGCAGGGTCTGGGGCACTGGTTCCACCCACCACAGCCTCACCCTGGAAGCAGCCTCCACCGTAGCCGCCCGTGTACACCCAGGCTGTGTGGTCATAGCCGAGGCCCCATACTACGCCGCGACCGCTGGCCTCCACCACCTGCAGGTGACCGCCCATCTGCCGCCAGAACCTGGAGGGGAGGGGTGGGAGGAAGGTGTGTAGGGGAACAGTGGGAGAAGAACTCCGTTTAGGTCCTGCTTGCAGCCCCTGACCCTCCTGGCCAGCCTGTGGCATGTCTCCACGTGGACACAGATCGAGGCCAGTCTCTTCCTGCATTCCCGTTCTGTACTGTGTAGGAATCAGTGATCTCCTGTTCAGTAGCCATCAGAGTGTGGGAGAGGCAGGGTCCCCACACTGAAGCAGGCTGGCTTGGCCCCCAAGTGGGGGACCCCAGCAGCCATGAAGACTGTGGAGTGGGGTGGGGGGATGTGAAGGTCCATAGGAGCAGATCACTCTGCCCATGAGAAGACATAGGATGGACTAATAGAATTCTACCTGCAGGGTCCCTCCTGTGGGACAAGGCCCTGCGCTTCTCACCAAAGGCTGTATGACTTGGTCCTCAGGGTGGGTGCCACATACTCAAAGGTCTCAAGGAGTCCAGCATGAGGCCCTGATGCTGTCCTCTACAGTCCTAACACAGGGGCTGCAAGGCCTAGCATCCTGCTCACTCTCCCCTCAGATGGCTGGCTGTGGTCTCCCTGGACCCCAGCTGGATACACCCCACCTGACTGAGGTCCCCCCATGAGCCTGCTCCCCATCAGTCAGTGGGGCCACAATCTGCACAATGCTGCCAGGTGCCTTTCTCCTGGTCACGACCATCATGTCTGGTGACCTAGGTCTTAACCTCTTCCCCTTCTTACGGGGTCCACAGCGCCTCGTGCTGGTGGACATCTCCACATCTCCACTCTCATGGGGTCCACACTCCCGGCCTCCTCCTGGCCGCTCCTTACCCACACTGCCCTCAGAGCCTGAGGGGACTCCACAGAGAAAGCAGACGCTGCTGCACGGCCCATGTGGCTTCCTAGGGCTTTGACCCCTTCCTGAAGTGCTGTCTTGTGAGTCTGGGCCTGACCCTCCTCCCCTGCCCCCATTTCATGCTGCTCCCTAACCTTGTGATGTACCCCTCTAAGGGCTCAGGGGTGTCCTTCAATGAGAGCTCCCACACTCATCAACAATGCTAGCTTGTTTTGGAAATAATATCTCTGTTGATGTCGTTACCATTTAACTTCACGTTAAGTGACACTACAGCAGGTCGAGTCCTAATCCAACATGAGGCGAGTTTGTTCTTATTAAAGAAGGGGACCTGGTGGTAGGGTGGTTAAACACTCCGCTAATAACAGAAAGGTCAGTGGTCCCAAACCACCAGCCACTCCTTGGAAGAAAAGACCTGGTGACCTGCTGCCATAAGATTTACAGTCCTACAAACCCAGTGGGACAGTTTTACGCTGTAAGTTAGGGTCCCTATGAGTCTGGACATCCTCAACGGCAACGGGCTTAGTTTGGGGACTTAGACACCAGAAGAAGAGATGAGACAGAAGACTGCCACAGGACAGCAGAGAGATGCTGCAGCTAAGTCCACGGAGCCTCTGGGGCCACCAGAAGCCAGGAGAGAGCAGGAAGGACCGTCTGGTTGAAGAGACCACGGCCTCCAGTACAGTGCAGTACGTTTCTGCTCTCGTGCTAACTACATGGGCCTGAAGAGACATCAACTTGAAAAGTTACATAGGAACCTCGGGGCAGTGAGTTCATGGGAATGGGGAGGAGCAACTTGGGAAAGGAGGGAGGACGGTTGTACCACTTGACAAATGTCACCCATGTCACTAAAGGTTACATGGACAGATGGTTGGACACGTGAGTGTTCTGCTGTATAAGCTTTCAACAACCACCGCAAAAGTGCTGCTGGTGCCGGTGCTGGAGGTGGTGATGATGATGATGTGCCATGGAGTCGGTTCTGACCCATAGCGACCCTGTACAGGGTTTCTGAGGCTGTAAATCTTTACGGGAGCAGAAAGCCTCATCTTTCTCCTGCAGAACAGCTG